GGTTTGCTCAGCCGCCAGCTGGTCCAGAGCGTCTTTCTTGGACTTAACCAAATCATTTTTGGTTTTGTCCAACTCCCCCTGCAGCCCGGTGACCTCCTCCTTCAACCCGGTCTTCTCCTTCACCGCATCCTTCAGAGCTTGGATGTCGGTTTTGAGTTGATCGATTTGGAGTTGACGGTCAGCAGCCGTCTTGTTGGCAATGTTAGCAGCAGTCGTCAGCTGCTGGATGAGTTCCTCCTGTTTCATCTCCCGGGCTTTAGTGTGGATTTCAAGCATTAGGGAGTTGTACTGACATATATCAATTAAATCGATTGCCCGTTTCTGGGCATCCCTTACCTCCTCTTGCTTCTTCCGCAAGGGGGCTTTTAACCCATCCACCCTTAGCATCGCCTGCAAGACCAATCGGCAATTGAGTTAGCAAATTGATCTTAAAAACTTCAGCTATCAAATCTAGCACAAAATACCCCATCCGGTGAAACAATAGATTGTGCAAAACAACCGCATCCGGCAAATTACCTCAGCCAGCAATGAGGTGATCCGGTCAAGGTTGACCTGGCTAACACCCGGCACAGCCTCCCTCTCGGACCTAGTCAGGGTCCTTATCATTCTCCTGGCGTAATTTTGCATGTCCGGCCAGCGAGAAGCGGTATCTGCATCATGAGACATATCGGTTAAGTGTTGGGAATAAACGGCTCCTACATTCAACCGGTTCCCGACCGAGTCGCCCGACTGAGAAGTATGAGACTAGACTCGAAGTGGCCCAAGCGGCCAGGGGGGGTCAAAAGCGGAGTCCATACCTTGGTCATCCGTCTGAGGGGTGCCACCATCCCCAGCCGCATTGGAGCCGGAAGCAATAGCCGGCACCCTGCTAGAAGGAGTAGGCTCCCTAGATCCGGTCTCAGCCGGCTCAGAGCTCAGGCCAAGACTTTGCAGACTTTTGCCCGCAGTAGTGGGCCTCACAAGAGCCGGAGTCCTGCCGACTGATGGCGGAGTAGGGCCTTCAGAGACCCTGCGCCTTTGTGGAGGCGGTTGAGGAAGCTCCCCACCCGGTCTCACCATCTGGCGGATAGAGCGGGGAACATATTGGCTTCCCGTCTGTAAAAAACAATCAACAAGTCAGAATCAATGTTATTGGCAAAATAAGCAAACGGTTTTATGACAGCCGGTGCTTACCCCACTGGCCCGGGCAGCAAGTTGGGCCCGTTTCTGCTCCAACTGAGCTTTCCTGATCTCGGCGGCTGACTTAGCCGGCGTCATCTCAGGCGGAGTCATCTCTAAGCCTTCCTCTGCAAAATAACAAGAAAAAGTTAGCATCATTTGCATATCATACAAACGGCATAAATTGTCAGTTAAGTAATAGACCTTTGTTATACAAGGTGTTGAGACCGCAGGCGGAGAGGAACGCCTGGTTCTTGAACCAGTCCGGATGAGGGACTCAGAATAGAGGAACAATGATTTGTGTCCCATCATTCAAAGGCTCGGTAGTCTTCTTAAACAACCCCGGCTCCATTATGGCGTCCCAAGCCTTAGTCGGTACCCTTGGTAGGGCGCACTTCTTTTCTAGAAGAGTCGGGTTCTTATTGTAACGGCGCATCCGGTGATTAACAGTCGTTGAAGGGGAAAAGACGTAATAAAATTTGCTCTTCCAACTTATCCACTTGGAGGGCTACTCTAAGGTCATCATGTATTCCGGATGCGTAGTAAGAGTGTACCAGGCATTCCAGCCGCCTGGGGCATGGCTTAGGTAATGCATATGCGCGAACGCCTCCCAGCTAGGCGTCACTTCCTGCATCTCGCAGGCGGCAATATAGCCGATGATGTCCACCCAAGAATTGGGTGTAAGCTGCCAGACCCCCAAGTCGTAGCTTCTTAAAATGTCTTTAATGCATCTGTGAAGGGGGAACCGGAGGCCGGGTTTGAATGCCGCCTCATAGCAGCCGAAGTAGTTATCGGCATGATTCAAGTCATCCTCCCAGACAACTGACGAGCTCGCAGGAAGGACACCCAACTCCCAGTCGTCCCCTACCGGACGCTTTTTCACAAAAGCTTCGAGTGTTGCGTTTAATGTCACAACGTCCCGGTTGCTCATGTGCCCCTCCAATGGGTTGTTTACTGACGGCCAACTGTATGCCTCCTCATCTTGTTGAGGGACATCCGGCGTCATTGTGGACTTTGATGATCCAGCCTCTTGGTCGATTTTTTCACCGCTTGAGCTTCCGGACTCTTCCAAAATCTCATCACTAGGCGTACTTGGAACGCCTGGTTGATCGAAAGGAACGTCTTCAACCGGTGTACCGGATGAATCATCTGACTTGTAATCGGGATCAATAGCCGTCCCTCTAATCCGAGCCTTTCTGTCCTGCACAAGAACAGAGACGGTCGGATTCTCAGAAATGTAAGGGTGTTCCATGCACCCCCAGACGGCATCCCAGTCCTAGATTCAGCCGTATCCGGTGAACAGTTGACAACTGCCCTAGGTCGTGTCGTGTGTGTATTGGGAGAGTCCCACTCAAGCTTATCTCATACTCTTCTCTTTCTAAACTCTTCTGAAAACCACTAAGCACCAACCCTTCACAATTCCACCGACACAACGGAGCCTATGCAGTTACTGACCAAGCCACTTCCGCCGATAAAGCTACCCGATGTTCTTCCGACCAATACACTAGAGCAGCCACTAAGGAAACCACCACTAAAATTTCCTGTGTAACCTCCTGGACCACCACCTGAACCATTGCATCCGGCGCCACTGTTCTCTAATATTCCGCCAGGCAGACCACCTACAGAACCACCCATCTTATTTCTCAAGCCACTACTTTCAAAATTATTGATAACACCACCCGCAAAAGGGGCACCACCAGTTTCGCTGGTGCGATCTCCTCGACCTCTAACTATAAACCCATCCCCAAATTCACAAGCCATCCCCCATATTTGAGTTTCTTAGCAAAGCCCTCTACTCTGTAACCAATCTCACCATCAGATTTTTCAGAGCAACCCAAAAAATCTCCACCACCACTGCCACCAAACGTGAATTCACTCAGAGATTGTCTAGATCTACTTGTCTTAGCAGCACTAAACTGAATTTTCGATCTCACCACTCCTCTACTTGACATCTCCATAATCACACCACTACGAAAACCACCCATAAGGTCATCGGCAGTAGAGCTTAACTCCAAATCGGCTTTCTCCACCACCGTCTTTTCCTCTAGTGATGTCATTTGTACATCACCGCTTGGAAAGTCAGTGGTGGCTGACTGTTTTGCATCATCGACTTCATTTTCTTCGTTCTTGAGCTCCTCACGAATCAGTTTACTCTCTATTTTGAACTAAGAAATCGCCTCACAAACTATCTCTTTATGTTTTTGCTAGCTTTTTTTTTGTAGTAGCACGTGACCTGGCTAATTGAATTCACTAGTAATTGCTTTAAGTGATATGACCTTAATACCCTTACTAGCATATTCCATTTCAAACTCTCTCCAAGCTAACAAGAGACCCACTTAAGCTTCTCTCATACTCTTCTCTTTCTAGACTCTTTTGAAAACCACCAAGCATCAACCATTCACAGTTTTCCACCATCAAATCCACTGTCACAATGGACCCTGTGCGGCTACTGACCAAACCACCTCCGCCGACAAAGCTACCCGATCTTCTTCCGATCAAGACACTAGAGCAGCCACTAAGGAAACCACCACTAAAATTTCCCGTGTAACCTCCTGGACCACCACCTGAACCACTGCATCAGGCGCCACCTTTCTCTAACATTCAACCAGGCAGACCACCTACAGAACCACCTATCTTATTTCTCAAGCCACTACTTTCAAAATTATTGACAATACCACCCGCAAAAGGCGCACCACCAGTTTCGCTAGTGCAATCTCCTTACCTCCACCTGTTAACCCATCCCCAAAATCGCCAAGCCTTCCCCCATATTTGAGTTTCCTTGCAAAGCCCTCCACTCCGCAACTTATCTCACCATTAGATTTTTCAAAGCAACCCGAAAAATCTCCACCACAACTGCTACCAAATGCAAATTCACTCAGAGATTGTCCAAATCTATTTGTCTTAGCAGCACTAAACTAAAATTTTGATCTCACCAGTCCTCCACCTGACATTTCCACAATCTCACCAGTGCGGAAACCACCCATAAGGTCATCGACAGTAGAGGTTAACTCCAAATCGGCTTTCTCCACTACCGTCTTTTCTTCTAGTGACGTGATTTCTACATCACCGCTTGGAAAGTTAGTGGTGGCTGACTATTTCGCATCTTCGACTTCATTTTCTTCGGTCTTGAGCTCTTCTCGAATCATTTTACACTCTGATTTGAACCGAGAAATCGCCTCACCAAATATCTTCTCTATGTTTTCATCTATTTTCTCCTTAAATTCTGGTTGTGAGAACATGTTAGTGAACTCACTATTCGCTGGACTTCCAGCTAAGTCACCGGGGACCGTACTGCTCTGATGCCATTTGCTAGGAACTGACATGATTACAGCTCTAACAATGGCAGAAATTGGGGAAGAAATTGCTGATGATATTGATAATATGTGAATTACACTAACTTGAATGGTAATTCCACTTTCGAGAGGTGGATGCTCTCCTTATATGAGCTTTCAAGAGGCTCATTCTCTCCTAATAACTAGCCTCACAATATTCAACATATGCTTATTCCTCCTAATGAGGCCTATTTATAGAAAAACTCTCCTAACAAACCTCTAGCTTATTTTCCAAGTTACTACTAATAGACTATGACTAATATGCCCTTCCCCCCAAATATTGATTCCTTCCACACTACTACCCCCCCCTCTTTTTTTTTTTCAAATTTCTTCTTCTTATAACATCAATATTATTCCTAACAATAATAATATTACTTACTAACATTTTTAATTGCAGAGAATAACTCAACAAATATGCTTTGTAATATGAGATAGAGAGAATACTACTTAATTATATGATTTAGGGAGAATAACCTAACATTATTGCCCTTTTTTTTATACACACATATATATACAAAGCAATTGTTAAGTTTGAATGCAGTCACAAAGTATGACACGGGAGACACCAACCAATAATCCACGCAATATAGTAAAATGCAAAAGTCAGTATGCTATACATGAGTGCTATAAGTAGAAAAGAAATACTTGCCACTGATCTTCAACAGTTCACCATCAATTAAGAAGATAACACATTCAAGTCTCGACTTCTAAACAGAAAGAATGAACGAACCCTTGTTATTCTTCCATACCCCAACATCCCACTTGCACACTCATAGAGAGCAACAACATCAAAAAAAGGTTGTGCTCATCAATATGTTCTGGTTTATAAAAACTGTAATCGATTTCACATCTAGTCTCCTTCTATTCGTTGAATTAACCAGTCAGTTATATCATGGAATACAGTTTGTCGTTCAGGTTCGAAGAGAATGTCATGCAACAGTCCATCATACAATATGATGGCCTTGTCGAATGATGAGGCTTCTTCATACAATTTCTGGGAACCTTTAGGGTCAGTCACAGCATCAGCAGATCCATGTAGTACAAGGAATGGAACTCTCAATTTCGTCAAGTTATCTTGTAAATAGGCAGATATGCGGAGAATCTCACAGCCGGTCCTTACACGAATTGCACCTGTGTATACAAGGGGGTCTGAATACTTTGCTTTCAGTGCCTCTGGATCTCTACAAACTACTGTGCCTGATTTGTTTGCAGCATGGCATTGATACCTTGGAAACAATAAGGATGCAATTGGGGCAATGACCTGAAATAACAAATTAACAATAGTACATTAGTACCATAAGATTACATAAGAGGAACAAATGGCACCAATTCTTTGCACCAGTGAATCAGATTCATTCATGAAACATTACTATAAAGTTTCATAATACTCCTGCAGATTCTAGAACCTCTAGAAATAGTCTAAAATAGCTCCTATTTATATTCTCCAAAAACTTGCCTAGATAACAAAAGACTAAGGCAACTCCAAGTGACTCTTCAAAGTCTGATGATGGTACCCTTATTCAACAGCACAAAAGGCATGCTAAACAAACATATAAAATAAAAATAAAAACTGAGGCAAAAGATCAGTACCAATGTACCAATATGATTTTTTTTTACCTCTATGAACTGCACTACTGCAGATAAAGGTTCTACTAGCATTTTGACTTATTGTTATGAACCAAACGGGAGGTTCCAAGCTTCCACAAAATTCTCCAGATTTACAAAGTCATGGAATTCAGTTGCAGTTACATAGTGTAAATGAAGATAAGGATCAGATGGATGACTTAAATTTCTCAGAAGGTTAATGTAGGCTTGAATCACAGCATACAAAACGAATTTTCTTCTTAAGATAACAAAGTAATCAAATGGAACTTAGTAATAAGTGGATTGGTGGACAACTCGTTTAAGTCTGCAATTATGTGTATTAAAAAAGGCATGCACTTCTCTGCTACAATATTAAGTCAGAAGAAAATACAAAGAAGAAACTTACATTAAATATTGGATGGGATGGATTTACACCAACTGCTGGAGATGTTAAGACTATGCCACTGATTTGAGCTTCAACCTTAGGGTCAAGAGCAGCCTGCATTTTTGACATTACTGCATTAAGTTTTTGGAGGAATATATACTATAGTCAACAAGATAAAGAGAAATTATGAAAGTTCATTGGTCTTAGAGAGAATACTCACTTTAAGTACAATAGCTGCACCTGTGGAATGTGCAAAGCAAAAGCAGGGAAGTCCAGGATTCTCTGACAAAATGGCATCTAGAAATGCTTTCTGCATTGGCATAATCAGCAGATATTATTAATAAATTAAATAGAGTTGTCATGCTACCTATGGCTGATTAAAGCTTACCATATCAACAACAGCATCGTCAAGGGATGGAACATAAGCATGTAGTCCATCACTTCCACCATGACCTAAAATTAAGGAAATTGGGAACTCAACAACATTAGTCAACCAACATTAACAAATAGAGATAAAGGATAAAAACCATAATTTGCCTTTTCCCCGGCTAATGAAGGTAGCAACTGATTGATAAAAAAGAAAAAGAAAAAGAAAAATGAGATCCTCCGAAATTGAAGCTTAGTCAGGTTATGCAATGAAAAACACAAACTTCATCTGAAACTCATGAAGGAAAGAATATAATTTTGAAAAGAAAAAAAAAACAACAAAGACAAATACAAATACAATAATCCAGCATAGACAAAGCCCTACTCTCACATTAGCATGCAACACCTAGAAGTTTGCCTTGAAGAAGATAACCTCACATTTATACTGCTCAAATGAACACAAATGAGGGGTTTTTTTTTTCACACAGGAGAACAAAAATAAGTTACAAAGATAAAGGGATCATTGAAAATATCACTTGTATTTGCAACAAGGGGAAGTAAAAAACAAAAAACTTTATCTAAACTTACAAGGGAAAGAATCAAGTTTTACATTTAAAATAAAAAGGAAAAAATATAAACATAATAATCCAGCACAGTAAGGCTTTCTTATGCACAAGAGACGAAAATCAAGTCACAAAGATGAAGAGACCATTGTGAATCATCACTTGTTTTAGCAACAATGTGCTAGATGTTTATGTCATTAGATTTTTTTTAACTATACATCAGGTCTTTACTGTTTTAATCAAAATCAAGACTCAAATAACAAGATTACATATTAAGAGAAGCTTCATATGTTACTTTTTCAGCACAAGACTCAAATAACAAGCTTACATATTAAGAGGAGCTTCATAGGTTACTTTTTCAGCACCACAGGGCACCCAATCAGAATGCTTAATCCTGCAACATTAACATATAGATGCACAGAAGCATGGCTTCTACACTCTCAAGCAGTAATGACAAGAATTGGACTTCATTAATATAATATGAGGATGCATGGGAACTACGAAATCTAGCGTTTACTGCGACTTCTACACTCTCAAGCAGTAATGACAAGAATTGGACTTCATTAATATAATATGAGGATGCATGGGAACTATGAAATCTAACGTTTACAGCGACTTCATTTTAGTTCTTTTGGAGGGTTTTTTTTTGGGGGGGGGGGGGTTGTGTCAGGGAAATACATATCACAAATCAGATTCCAATACCAAAAAGCACCTAGCACCTTTCGTTTTGATTTTCAAAACTTTAAGGGCTGGTTTGGTATCATTGCTAGTGAAAGCTTTTGATTTTATGCCATTTAATATAAGTTATATACAATTGAACTTAAAATTAGTCATACTTAATGTTAATTTTGAAAAATGACAATAGAAATCAGGTTTCCATAAATTTGTTGGTAGTTTTCACTAAAAAAAAAATTGGAAACTGGAAACAAAAACGATGAGGAATAAGCTTAGTTGAGAGAGGAAAAAATGTCTAATAGAACCCCACCCCCCACCCCCCAACCTCCCAGTAAAGGCTCTCTTGTTTGTTATTCAACCATTTCCCACTAATCTCCATCAATACAAGAAAAAAAAAAAAAAAAAAGGCATCACACTATTTGTTTTATTCCCGTTTCCTTATGTTTAGGGTATATGATTAGATCCCTTTAAGAGAATAAGCTTACATATTTATTAGTTTTGCAACATTCCTAGGGTAAGACTATACAGCAAACCCACCACCTCACAAACCATGGCAAACAACTTGCTAACTACCATAAATATACTTAGTATATACCAGGCCTCACATACCACCTCAAATTTTTTATTAACCCTTGCAAAGCACCATATATTCACATTCCCTGAAATACCTAAAGAAAATGCAGATTGGAATGAGAGAGAGGAAGGGAAGAGAGGGAAACAGTGAAATACCGAAGTTGGATTAATTTGACTCCATGGTAGTTAAAATTAGTTTCCTACCAGCAAAAATTTGAAATTTGCACCATTAATTATTCACGAACGGCGACCTCGTTGGCAATCAAATTGAGGTGGTGGCGGTAGGAAATATATGGTGATGGTCCTGGTGGAGCCATAGAGGTTGGCTGGGAAAGAGAGAGAGAAATGGAGGAATAAAGATGGAGCCATGGATATGAAGCAGATTGGTGACAATATATGATGGGCAGCAAAATGAGAGTAATTGTTAAAAGGGGGAAAGATTATTTTAGGGAGGTCGTGGGTAACCATTACTCTCATTTTTAGGGTAATAGTGTAATGCATTATCCCCATCAAATCTTCACTCCTATTCTAGGCATCTAAAAAAACCAGTTATTATTTATTTTTTTTTTTTTTTTACTCCTTTACATTTTCCATCCCAATTACTGATAACCCAGGCATGCCCTTTGGTACAGTCCCATGAGATATACATTCAAGAAATACCTGATAAGCAAAAATTAATGAAAAACTGAAACAGACTTCCTTGAGGAATATTTGTGTAGTTCACACCAAAACTGCCAGAGTTCCCACAACAACAACCAAGTTCCAAAACCTTATCAATCAGAATATTGGATCTCTAACTCACCGCTTGTCATGACACGAGCTAAGAGCAAATCCATGATTTACTGACCATTTACCCGAGATAGAAGGCAAACTAGGTTACTACTTTCACGACAGTCAGTGAAATCTCAATACAATCATGTCTAATACATAGAGGTATCAGTCATAGCATTGAGGTAATGGAGGCTTTTTTCAATGGACCTTTTGATCTAAAAAAGAACCTGCTGTTTTTTTTAACCAGCACAACCAAACTTGTAACGATCAATTCTATAGGTCGTACCTCTCTATCCTTAGACACCAAGGCGACAGAAAACGGGTCATTTAACCAGCCAATTTGATTCATCATCATAATCTAAAGCCAAAGAAAAATAATGGGTCGTTCCATTTGGTATAAATCAATAATTGATAGACAAACTAATAACCTAGGATACTGGATCTCATAAAACTAAGCCCACTTCCCCCCCCCCCCCCCCCCCCCAAAACAACATACACTCAGGTATCAGTCCACACACAGGAACATTTTATATACTCCATGCAACATTGGTTTAAGCTAAGAGGTAGAATCTGGTTGACAGTTTTGCAGTGAACATTTTGCATTATCTCCGACTTCTGATGCGATACAAGTTACCTACCGGAACTAAATGATATAGAATCCTCTTATTGAAACAGAAGTTTAATCTCATTTAATTCTAAAAGCATACAAGTTACCTACTGGAACTAAATGATATAGAATCCTCTTATTGAACCAGAAGTTTAATCTCATATAATTCTACAAGCCCAATGGACCAGTGTCAGGTGACTCAGGTCCAGCTGTTGTTTTACTCAATGGACCAGTGTATGAATATGTATATCAATAATTGCAGACCTTTCAAAGTATCATCTCAAAGAAGAGGACACAACCAATTCATCATCTCAAAAAATCCTTGTTTCTTTTTAATATTTAATTCATTTTTAGAGCCATCAATTGGCAAACATACAACACTCTAGCTTAGCTTATACAAACTACGACACATATACTTCAAAAAGTATGCACAAGTTATACAATCCATTCTGGAAGAACAAGGCATTGGATCTGATATATTAAGCTACAATTGCACTGCCTCTCAGTACTTAATTCTTACATTATTAATCCAAAAAGCTGTTTTGAAGGGAGGATCAAACTAATAATTAGTTAATAGAGAGATCATTTACAATCAATGAATCAATCAAAGCCTTAATCCCATAAGTGGGGTTGGCTACATGAACCAAAAGTGATTATTCCGTATAGTCATCTACAAAAATCTTCCTCCTCCATCCCTTACGATCAAATACCCCATTCTCATGCAAATTCATTTGCTTCATATCCTTCCTAACTCTTTCCAACCAAGTCATTAACAGATTTTTAAAATTCCTCTGGTGACAAATTATTAAAGGAAACAATGACCTTGACATCAATATTTTGGCCACAATTCAGGGAAAGTAAAATTTTCCACCCATCAAAATTATGTCAAGATACTAATCTAGTACACCCTCCGTTTCATATTGATGATCCTGAATCCTTTATTAAGGGTTTCTGACAGATGGTCCTATTGTTAATCTTTGCCGGTTTTGGTGAAGTTGTTTCCCCAATTCACCCTCATAGAAATTATACTTCTCAATGCAACTCCATATGCCACATTTATGGAACCAATACAGAGAGAAGCATATTATGGTTATAAGATTCTAAGAGAGAGTATAAGATTCTAGGAGCATCAGTACCAAATAGAGGTAGTAATAGAATAAAGACCAAGAGAAATTTTGTTGAAAATCAACTGTCACGGAGATAGCACTATTTGTGTGATATATAGTTACACACATACACAATCTTGTTTGCAGCAGAAGTATTTGCACACTCTCTAAGTTGGGGTTTAAAAATCTTATCTCTTTTACTTTGTGATATGCAAACTTGAATCTTCACTCTGATCACCCTCATTGCCCTAGGTTCAATTAGAGACCCTCCTCCATGTTTACCCAAGAGGTTCAATCGTAAGGGTGCTGAATAAGGTGAGCATAAAACAAGGCAAACTCTATGTATTTTCTTTTTATCTGATGGAGTGCTTGAGAAAAATATGTCAAAAGGATTTGGTAAAATGACTACTAAATATCACGAACCACTCCTTACACAGCACTTTGGAATGTGAGTTTTAAGATTGTTGAATCATATTATTGTTGTCCAGTTTTAAAAAGTAATAAGATACATTACATGTACCCGTTCCAAGGGCTGGAAAATAATCATTTCCTGGTATCATCTGACATAGTTATAAGCATGCCAAGCTTTCATCTAATACTTAATTGTTAATACACACATATACTAAGACAATACTCACAAGAAAGTTCATTGACAAGTCACAAATTCACCAAGGAAATCGCAAATAGTGAATTACGAGGATATGTAAATTATTACAAGATATCATTAAAACAATGATGGCACTAAAGAACTTACCAATCCAGTCCATTCCATAAACCTTGATTCCAATCTCATTTAGCTGCTTCGCAAAGTCACTGTATCGGCCACTGTCATCAAATACAAATGTCTAAACAATTAGCATGTCCAATCCAAAAGGTAAAATATATAAAATACACCAGACAAACCTTGACGAACCTGTGCTCATTAAGGCCATGCAATAGCAACACAATCCCCCTGCATAAAAGTAACCAAAGCATTAGGCTATCAACGGGAGAATAAATAGCCTTTATTTTACGAACAAACACTACGTATTAAGCATCCTGAATTTCATGTTAAACCAATATGATGAAATTAGCTGACTGACTTCTAAACAACATACATTTTAGAGAAAGTTTAATCATTTAGTAGATTATAGCATAAAAATTTAAAAGGTAGAATGTTTATAATATGAAATGGACTATCAACAAATCTGGGACGAAGACAATGTGAAGAAACATAAATGTCAAACAGCACCATACACAGAATTTTGTGGATTTCAAACTCAGAGTATGGCTCATAAATACAGGCCCATTAGTGCCGAAATCAGGGTATTATGGACTAATGAAGAGACTGAAAAGGAAACATGGCCGACTAATTTGGAATAGAGGATTTAGAACATTATCAAATCAGTTATAAGTACATCATATCAATATTCCCTGAATCAATATAAAAAACAGTGATCCATATGACATGAAAACATTGTTTGAAACATTGTTTAGCTAATACGTTGAGATTAAACTCTAAATGTAAGCTTAATATACTTCGTAAATATTAACACAAATGACTCGTAAATTTACATAAATTATGAACTTAATACCAAAAACCCCTTTTTATTTTTATTGACGGACTTAGCTTCTACTACTAGATAATTAGCAGCCATTTCCTCTCTCACCCTTTTTGCTCTTTAGTTTCACAAAATTAAGGATCCCAAGGCCAAAAATAGCCAATATTGCTGTTAAATCCATTAATACTATATCATTTGAAATCTTGAAACTGGTAAATGTCATTAGGGTACTGTTTGTACTTCATTATCACCTGATACAAGAAGTTCCTTTGGCAAAGATTTAAGATGGATCAATATGAAATCAATATTTCTCCTACAATTAAATGAATCAAACAAAATTTCATTTTCATGACTAACAAATCATCAGGCCCTAGGTAAAGAACACTTTAAATCACATCGATATAAGAACATCTCCAATGGTTTACAAAAAGGACTTGCTTGCAAATTAAATTTAATTGTAATCATGTAGCTTACCATTGGAGTGACAATATTGATGTAGCTACCTCAAGCAACGTAGCTCAAACAAGCTACGTCGCTTAATTTTTCAAGGAAAACTTCATCCACTTAGATTATGACATATGTATAATTAAAACTACTTAATTTATTTATTTTTTCCAAGCTTCAATATTCTATTGCTCACCATTAAAGCACCTTGTAGCTTAATAATATACTAGCTCAAAATTGATGTATCAAGGTAAGCAACAAGCCCTTGTAGCTTACCATTGAAGATGCTCTAATCGAAAGAAGTTCTAAGAGCAATTCTAATGGTTGTAGCTAGGGACTTGCTTGCAATTTTAAATAGTTCCCAGCTATTAGCTATTAGATTGACCAGCAATTGGCTTGGCAAGCAAATTAGCTTTGCCAAGCTAATTTATAACTTGCCAAAAAGAAAATGCTAAAAGTAAATTAGTAATTAACATTAAAACAATAAATTAATAATTTAAATAGTAAGCTAATAGCTAACCATTGGGGTCAAACTAGCTTGAAAAATAATTAGCTTAAAAGCCTATGTGGCATGACAAGCTAATTTGCCAATTAGCTTGCCAGTGAAATTGCTCTAATGCTTTGCGTTTTTTTAATTAAAGCTTTTTTGTGTATTTCGGATAATTTTTTTATTAACGAACCAAATTGTTATTCTCTTCAATTTCCTTTTGTTAGTCCCTTTTTACCAAATTATCAATGCACATGTTGAAACAAATACTACATATATCTTCAAACAACACATTAAAAACACATACTCACAACTCCTAAAGACTTTATTTTAATACTAAATCAAAACAAATCTATTAAGATTGATAAAAAAAAAAATAAAAAAAAAAAAATTTAAATTAAGGGTGGGGTCTAGGGGCCAAACCAGAACCACTAGAAATACACATACAAATCAAAATTGATAGCAACAACCAAAACCAAAAGATGGACGTAATCTTAAACCAAATTTAATGCCAAAAACATATCAATCACAAATAAATATATACCTGACATTTCTAGAAACAGGAGACCAAGATTGCGTAAAAAGTGTAACACCTCTCTTCGTACCAAAAATCGAATAATCCCTCAAACACTTCTCATCTTTATCCTCCTTAACCCTCTTAATCGCCATCATCCGCCTCGCCGCCACATCCTGCTCCACCACCACTCTCCTCACAATCGCCGCCGGCAACCTCACCACCGGCCCTCCACCGCTACCGCCACTGCTCACCACCTTCTCCTCCTTCGATACCGACGACACCGATTTCTCTCTCCTCCTTCGAAACGGCACCACAATCACGAACAAAATTGCTAAAATCAAATTCATCACACTCCTCCATGCACTCAATGATATCAAGGCGCTCACTCTCCCACTTGCTCCGGATGTTAACATCTCCGACGCCATTATTGTTGATTATTATCGAATTATGCAATTGTTTGTCAAAATTAATCAACAATTTTGTACCAGAATAAGGGAGGAAAAATATTTTTATTGATATATTCGTAACAATTCAAACAGGTAATATCAAAATTCAAAATCGATTATGTGTAGTTTCATAAAATTAAATATTTTCCCTCCCTTATTGTATTTTCTTTGATTTGAGTTGATTTCTGAAACTTCAAGAGAATGGCTGAATGGTAATTAAGGAATAACGTAGGAAATTGAAAGGTAAGTAAAGGCTAAATTTAGAGAGGTATTTTTTTAAATTTTTTTGTATAAGTTTGACGAGATAATACTTTTACTAGAAATTCGGGTTACCTGTTATATATAACTACGAAAGCTACTAATGCGGGTCCACCTCATATGATGCCATTTTATAACAGTTACATATTTATTTTCTTTCTGGCTTTTTATGCTCGTGTCAAAGGCGATATTTTGTTAGGTTTTATTTATTATTTTTTGAGATGAATAACGAAAGAAGAAGATAATTTTTTTTTTAATTGAGATGAGAATTTTTTTTTTTTGATTGGAAGGGAAGAAGTGCCACGTGTGTGGTGTTGGGCGAAGTTACTCTTCTGGAATTTGCTGATATGATATTGCTCATGTCGACTGACATACTGTAGTAATATAAGGCCTTTGAACGGTTGCATATTGGAATAGTCTGGGCTGGTTTGAATTAGATATAAATTCGTTACATATGGTAGTATCCTCCGGCTCATATAGAGGTCATCAATGGACATATCGGGCTAAAATGAAAAAAAAAACAAAAAAAACATATTTAGGGTATGTTCCAATTTACTTAAAACAACTTAACTGAACTGATTGGATTTGAACTGAACCAAGCTGAATAGAAGTGAAATGAATTGTTCATAAGAGAAGAAAATTAGGAACGGAACTGAACTGAAGTGATTGGAGCTGAACTGAACTGAAATTAAGCTGAATTGAACAGGCTCTTAGTCAAGTAGGACCATAGATCAGGCCAACAACGTTTGCCTTAAACCCGTAAAATTAGACTAGGCCTGGTGGACTCTTCGGTCTAGGAAAAAAAAAACTGCAAATCACATTGCTTGTCTATGGCCCAAGAAACCCTTTTGAGTTTTTAAGACATGTTCATATTTTTTCAAAATTACAAGATACACCCTCCAATTTAAGGTGTTTATTCAATCGTATCCTCTGACGTTAACCTAATGTGAATAGTTGTGTTAACTGTTAATTACTTCACTTTGGAGGGAAATTTCTTGCCAAAATTGGGTTAGAGTTATATAAGAGGATTAACATTAAGCATTTTTTCCACATTTTCTCATCTACTTTTTCTTCTTTCTTCTAAAAGTAACCATTAATATGTCAAGCTCTCAATGTACTTCTTCTTTTTTCTCGTCCGCTTCTTACTACTTACTGTTTTGGGGTTTTCTGTGTCCCTCAAGAGAGTTACGTCACTATGTCTGGACTCCGGGCGCCTGTATCTACAAAACAACGGAGACTCCGGATGGGTGGAGTTCCGCCTCTGACGATCAAGTTAATTTTTTTTTTTTTTTTTTGGTAAGTAAGATAGTAATTTCATTACCCAAAAAACGAGGGAAAAAAAACCCTCCCCAAACTACATAGAAGCCTCACAGGCCAAACCACACTCCTCACCAACACAAGCAAGCAACAAGCTTACTCTTACACATGTATAGTGCTACGTAACCTACACAACCATCTACACGTTTCTCTATTCCACTTTGTATCTATCAACTGATTTAATCTACTTACAATCTCTATACAGATACCTTGACACAAAAACTTGGGGTGCATAATAACTTTCCCCCAAAAAGCCTGGTTTCTAGCAAGCCAAATGTAATACACAAGTGCTTCCAAAGTAGCCATACTAGCTTTCATAGGAATAGAACTAGGTAACTGCCTTTTCAGTGCTTCCAACTTCTGTCTATATCAAAATGTAGCTCTTTTATGTTCAGCCAATCACATAAAATCATCATGCATTTCCTATTGTACTGATATTGAAAGAACATATGATCCCTGTCCTCATTCGGATCCCCGCACAACAAGCACACAGAGTCATTACTCACTCCAATTCTTGTCAGCACATCTCTAGTTCTGAGCCTCTTGTGCATAGCTAGCCATAGAATGAAAGAGTGTTTAGGTATATTGAACCTATTCCATACCCATGTTGTCCATGGCACCTTGTCTATATGTCCTTGGAGCCATTTATACCATTCAGTAAACTTGTAACCTTGTTGACTCCAATTATTGCAATGAAAACCTGGCATCAACTCATTCTTCAAGGCACAAAGTTTTTTCCATGCCCAGCCATCCCCTCGTTTAGCAGCATATTGCCACCAATAAGTGTTTATAATATACACTGTGCACCCACCGTATCCATAATGAGTCCTTCTTCTCAGCTATCTTCCAAATGTATTTGCCTAGAGCGGCCTTGTTCCATAGCTCACAGCTCCTCACTCCTAGACCACCGGCTTTTTTAGGTTTGCACACCCAATCCCACGAGATGGGAGAGATTTTGGAGAGCACTGCATCACCACCCCAGAGATAGCCCTGCATAATTGGGTTATTCTCACAATCACAGCCTTAGGAAGAAGCACACATTGTGCCTAGTAAGTATGAAGGTTAATCAAGACCGAGTTGATCAACACTACTCTCGCTACATAGGATAAATTCCTACTAGACTAACACGTAATTCGAGCAAGCATCTTGTCAATAATACTATCAAAATCAGACACCCTTAAATACCTAGCATTTAATGGGATGCCTAAGTACCTAAAAGGAGCTTCACGTTGAACAAAACCTATATTGTCCATAATCTGCCACTGAATCTCAGCATCAACACTACCAAAGTATATGACAGTTTTATCAACATTAGCCTTCAAACCAAAACACATCTCAAAAACCCTCAAAGCCCTAGCCATCAAAGCAACAGAGCCTTTAGAACCATGAAAAAACAACATCAGATCATCTGCAACGATGACATGATTCAGCCCCACACCTTTGCACCTCTGATGGAACTTAAAAGCCCTCAACTTCCCCACCTTCATTAACAACCTTGACAAATATTCCATCACCACTACAAATAACAAAGGAGAAAGGGGATCTCCTTGCCTTATCCCTCTTTTCCCTTTAGAAAAATCATGCAAACCCCCGTTCAACATAATGGAAAAACATGGAGTAGACACACACTGCATAACCCAGCTTCTAAATACGGGAGGAAAATTCAAAGCTGCTAGCATACTCTCAATGAAAGGCCAAAGCACAGAATCATAAGCCTTTCGAAGATCCACCTTTATAGTGCACCTTGGAGGCAGCCTTTTATTGTTATACCCCTTAAGCATATCCTGACAGAGCAAAATATTATCAATGATTGACCTTCCTGCAACAAAAGCCTCTTGCATCACACTGATCAACTCAGGAAGCACTTCCTTCAGTCTTTCACAAATCATCCTTGAGATGATCTTATATACCACATTGCAAAACGCAATTGGTCTAAATTGAGTAACTTCAGTTGCATTATCACATTTGGGAATCATAGTAAGAACAGTGCAATTGACTTGCTTAAGGAACTTTCCAGTTTTGAAGAAATCAAGCACAGCTTCACATAAGTTCTCCTTCACAATACCCCATGATGCCTTATAAAATTTACTAGAAAACCCATCCGGCCCAGGAGCCTTCTCATCATTAATCCCCCACAAGGCTTGCTTAACATCTTTCTCTGTAAACATTCTGCACAACCTGCTTTGTTGATTTGAATCCAGAACCTTTCCCTCTGTAATGACAGCTGGGTGAATAAGCCTATGAGGAGTAGCATCAGTTCCAAGCAAGTCCTTGTAGAAATCAAGGAAAAACTCAGCAATCTCCTCTGGCTCTCTAAGCCACTCCCCATCTCTGCTCTGAATACAACACACACTATTTCGCACCCTCTTTCTTCTAATACAGTCATGAAAATATGCAGTATTAAAGTCTCCTTCCTTTAGCTAGTGGGCTTTGGCTTTCTGTCTCAAAAAAATAATTTTGGCTTCATGAGCTTGGTTATAAGTACTCCTTGCCTCCCCCTCCAAGTGAGTAAGATCACGATCCTCAGGTGCAGCAGTAAGCTTCTTCTGAACCTCCTCCAAATCCCTAGCCGCAACAACATCTTTCCCTAGCACATCAGAGAAATTCTACAAATTAAAACTGTTCAACACTTTTTTAGTCTCCTGTAACTTCTTCACCAGTTTATACATTGGCACACTTTGAGTCAGACTACCCTAGGCCTCCCTTACAACATCAAGGAAACTAGGGCAATCCACCCACATATTAAAGAATTTAAAAGGCTTCCTCCCACTCTCCACTTTCTTGAACATATTAACAATACATGGGCAGTGATCCATAAGGCCCTTAGGCATGGAGGTTGCTTGCATATCAACAAATTTATCCACCCAATCCTCGTTTACCAACAATCTATAAATTCTACTACACACTCTCTGCTTAGCATCTTGCTTATTGTTCCAGGTGTAAAAGCTAAGTGCCCACCTGTTTTAAAATCCATAAGATGACTATGCCTTAAACATAATCTGAAGCCCTCGACTTCACCAAAGGTCACAGGAGATCCAATTCTGTCATTCATATCAAGAACATTATTAAAATCCCCTCCTACAGCCCAAGGACCCTTTATTCCAACACTAATAGATTGTATCTCCTCCCATAACTCAGCTATTTTCTTATAGTCATTTAGACCATAAACAAAAGTACACTAGAAATCAACACCTGAACTTCTATGAACCACTTTACTGTGAATATACTGCTCTCCCATCTTACAGATACTCACTTGAAAAATACTCGGCTGCCATATCAGCCATATTCTCCCCCCTTTATGAAAGGAGTAGTTTGCTGCAATTGACCACTCATCACCCAACCTCCCAAACACCTTCCCAAAACTTTTAAACTTCACTTTTGTCTCCAGAAGACCAAACAAGCCAATATTATGACGCCTAAGAAACCAAAGGATATCAGCTTGTTCAGCCCTCTCACATTCCAAAACCCCCAATTATTCATTTGGGGAGTAGATTGACCACCCCTTTTGCCCTGTGTTGTACAACACCTTCCCATCCTTCACATTTTTCATATGTTGAGACTCTACATTTACACTTCCTCGTACCTCCTCCAGACTACTATTTGTCAGCTTCCCCCGAGTTTCAACATTTATTTTTTTACATTCTGAGCTACACATATATTCTAGTCAGCACTAGGCTTCTTCACAGGTTTCCAAATCTTCTGCACTCTTCCTCCATTCTTCCTCTGAGCCACCTTATGATTTGGGCATTGAGCATCAACATGCCCCATACCCCTACAAACATTACATACTACAGGTTTCCACTCATAAACCACTTGTTGTTTCACCTCCACACCATTTTCATCCAAGAATTCAATGTAATCCTTGCACTTCCCATTGAAATCCACTTTCACCATCAAT